TATTTTTTTGTCAAATTTAGCATACTGAAGTTTTGAACTTTGACCTTTAAAAGGATTGAGTTTTGCATGAAAGAATCATTTTATTCTTCAAGCTTCGTTCTCTATTTTGTTTTTTCAAAAAGAGAGAGAGAGAGAAAGCATTTTTAATATGTTTGTGTTTTTGATAAAATTTTATCACTTGTAAAATAAGAAAAATAATAACCTTATTAGAGGAATTTGGGGAGGTGCCCATGGACCTAAGCTCTCAATTTTTCACCAAATTATATACTCCTTTTATTTAAAAATATAAAATATTTTTAATTGAATATCATTCTCAATAAAATAATTACTTACTTTTAAATTAACCCTATATTTTTATTTATCCCTATTAAACATTCAATAATAAATATAAAGTCATTATTAATAGAGATATTTTTTAAAAAAAGTAATAATCACACTTTAAAAGTTTAAAAATGCCTTATATTTTTTAACAGAGGGAGTAGTTGTTATATGTTTTTGGTCCTCAAAATATATGTAAACATATATATTATAAAAGTAACATGAATATTAGAATTTAGAGAGTCAAAAATATGTAATAATTAAATAATATTAAAAGGAAAATTCAAAATTTAGGGAATCAACTGCCCTCGCCCCACGTTAGGACTATTGGTTGAGCTAAATATGGTTTGATGTTTCGTTGTATTGCATCAGTATTTAAATACAAGAAAAAATAATTAATTCACACATCTTAAAAAAAATTAATCTAGTATAATAATTATATCTAAAATTAAAAAAATTAGATTAAATTATTTCTGTAATTAATAAAATAAATATATTTAGTGAAAATAAGCATTGAATTTATGATGGATAATTTGAAAAAAAAATGATACATACGTATTGAAATTTGGAATTTTGCTAATAAATAAAAATAAAAAGACACATTATAATTTCTTTTATATTTAAAAACGAAAACATGGAGTGTGTAGAATTTGCTATATATTGAATTATGTATATATATTGAAATTAAATATGTTGATGAAGATAGAGGGATAGGTATGAGTGATAAGAAGTGAAAGAAAACCCGCTTCTCTCTCTCCTCGGGTGAGAACTTTCTTTTCCTCTTCGTTTGTGGGAGGTTTTCACTGACTTTGTTAACTGCGTTCCGGCACTGTTCTTCCCAGTGTTTGTTGTGAAGATTGTGTGTTTCCTTGGGGGCTACAGTTTTTAAATTTGGTGTGTGCTTTGTGGTGGGGTTTGATTTGTGCGACGGCAACGTCAGTGAAGATGGAGTGTTCGAGGATGGCAACGTTGAAGGCTGTGATGTTGCGGAAAAAAGAGTGGAAGTTCATGTTGAATCTCGAGTTTTAATGCCTCTCTTCATTGTTCTTGTTTGGCTAAGGCCTTGGATTTCAAATCATCTGATCTATTAGGGTCGGAGGTTGGTTTTGTACAGATCGTTGGTGTTGGGTTGGGACATGTTTGGTGGTGTAGCTTAGGGGTGAAGGTAGTTGACATGTTATCGCCATTGTTGATGTTTTTCACCTTGCGGCTATGGTCATGCGATGCTATGAAATCTGCTCTTTGGTTAGCAATCTTGTTGTTAAAAGGGATGAGACTGATGAACTAGGAGTTTCTAATGTTCCTTAAATGTCCTAACTTCTCAATTTTATTTTTTATTTTTTTTGAATCATTAACTTCTATATAAAATAAGAGATATTTGAATATCTTGATATCCCAAAATAGTAAAGATTTGTATTTTTTATAATTTTTTAAAAATAAAAGGGTGTATTTGTGATATTTTTTAAAAAAAATTATAAAAAATACAAATCTTCACCATTTTAAAACATTAAGATATCAAATGTTTTTTATTTTATATAAAAGTTAATGATCAAAAAAAATTAAGAAGTTGAGACATTATAAAAAACATTAAAAAAAATATATTAAAAGTCTCTAGTCCGAGACCGATAGGGTGGTTCACTGAACCCCCATCCCTTGCTTTCCGCCATTGGAATTGTTAGAAGGGATGAAAACGACGTGGTGGCAATGCGACTGACTCCTTTTTCCTATGCATGGGGTAGGATTTGTTATGGTGGTTATTTTTTTTTGGGATTAGGGTTTTGTGCATTTGGGCTATAGTATATTGTAGGCTCTTTGTATTTTTGTTCTCTTAGTTGAATTCATGTTTTGTGGCAAAAAGAAAAAACAGAAGTGAAAGAAAGAAATTATAAATTGATTCAATTGACAAAGATTTAATCATAACTTATAAAGTTATATGCTTAAATTTTACTATTGGCATGAAAATTTTATTGATAAAGACACATCTTGATTTTAGCAAACTCTCGTGTCCAATTTATCAAGTGCTTTTTATATTAAAAAAAAAGGTAAAGAAAGGGAGAAAGTGGGGTTAGGTAGGGAATGGAGCTTTGCATTGTTCACTTTTGATGAATCGTGAGGTACGATATCTCACATCTTCACCCTCTCAATGATGCCGCTCATAAAGCAATCATTTTAATGCACAATAAAATTCACGAGACCAATATTAACACTGCCCATTCTATGCCCTCTATGTAAATTTTACAAATTTTAAAACACCAAAATTATATCTCTTTCTACACATATATATTATGAAAAATTGTATTGAAATTCCATATAAAAATTATATTGTCAATGACTTTAATTTTAATTATTATTATTTATTTAAGATTTGAATGTAATTCTTTCAATATATTATTTAAAATAATATTATATAATACACATATATATTAAAGAAGATGATTTGACTTGAATGTTTTTTGCATCCTCTTGTATGGGACCACCCTCTGCTCACCAAGCTAGGCTCCCCATGTTCCTGGACACAGTCATAGTTTTTCCCAGCACCCTACCCAACACAGTTAAGTTGGCTGCTTAATTCATTGAAGGCAGAATTAAATAATGCCTCCCGCCAAAAGGCTTTGCAAAATCAACTATTTAAAATGCAGAAATAAAAAAATTATCTTATTTATAAATTATATTATTAAATTGTTATCACGATCTATTTATAAGTGTTAGGAGAAAAAGTATGATATTAAAATATATATATATTTAGTAAGGATAAATTTAAGAATAGAGTTAGTGAATTTTGATGTCCCCTTAACAAAACAGGCTGCAATTAACTTATGAATTAGAATTGAGGAGCATTATAGAATGTGGGGGTACCACGGTTCAATAAGACAGGGAACATAGATGATGGATAGATGGATATCTTAAGAAGGCAGGTTCGTGAGTAACGCTACAATTTAGTGCGTGGTTTCTTAAGGTTAATTTATGTACATGTGTTGGGTTGGTGAGATGTGTGGTTGTTGGTGAGACATGTTTGATGATGAGTACGCTTCCTCCTTTTCCCCATCCTGCTTCTTTGGTGGATATTACTTTCTGTTAGCCTGCCACCTGACTGTTAGATGTCAACTATATTTGTAATTAGCTTTTTAAAAAAAATAAAAAAACAAAAAAAAGGTATAACCACTCCCTCTTTTAAAAAATATAAACATTTTTAATTAAATTTTTTAATAAAATAGTTACTGTTTTAAATAACCCTATTTTTTTATAGTTATCCCTATTAAATATCCTATAATAAATATAAAGTCACTGTCAATAGGGACACTTTTAAAAAAAGACAATGATTATGCATTAAAAAATTAAAAATACTTTACATTTTTTAACATCAATTTTCAAAAAATGCTTTTCATTTTTGAAACGGAGAGAGTATATGCTTTTCAATATTGTTAACTAATTTATATTTGAATGCTGTCCCGTGAATATCTAAATGAGAATAACTAGTTTTTAATATGATTTTTTTAAAATTCATAATTTTCATAATCTTGTTTATTATTTCCTCCGATTTTTTTATAAGGTCCTGTTAACTACTTTATAAGATAAAAAAAAATAGTTCAAGTTAGTCGAGTGTTCAAAATTTTTACAACTTTCAAAAGTTAGCCTTTGATTGGTAATAGTTTATGCGGAAGAGAAGATAGAAAAGTCATTATAAAGCGGCAATGACATTTTTTTTTATATTAGCCATAAATGTTTTATTAAATTTTATAAATGGTTTAGTATCAAGGACCCAAAAATAATACTTTATAAATAGAATTGAAGGGAATAGTCTCCCTGTTTTTTTTTTTTTGAGCCAAAAGGAGAAACTAAGGGGGAATAGTCTTAAATCACATCATTATCATCAAATTCATTGAAATGAAAGAATTCTACCCTCTATTACTTATATTACATGATTTATAAAAAATTAGTAAATTAGTTAATACTTGCCATGGGTTGTTCTCATTAAGTATATTATCTATTGACATAGACCAGTGAAAGATTCGTTTAAAAGTGTTGGTCGTTGACAGAGTACAGTCACGCCATTCAATTAATTTGTGCAATTGATTCCTCTATTGAGATAAGAATGTTTCTTGCTATATTGTCCTCGATGTATTGTTATTGTTACGCATTCATGGACCCACAATGTAATCCTTGCCTTGTCGGACATCTTGAGATAATCACTAGAGTTTATCATTTATTCCATAGTTCTTTCGACCATTGTTTTTGGGGCAAAATAACATGTTCTTGGAGTTATCCTGCTGCCCTGCATGATAATTCTCTATTCTAATAAGAAGGCAATTTTTTTTTTTTAGGTCAACATTCCAAGAAGGCAAAGTTGAGACACATTCATAACTATTAACCCTGAATTTTTATTCTGGTTCAAAAAATAAAATTTCACCAAGATTAAGGATAACAAAAAAGAATATCTTCCTTAACACAACATTTACAATAAGAAACTATAGTAGCTAGGAACCATCACCAAATACAAGGCTCCTTACTTTTATGTACAGTACGTTCTAAATTGGTATTGTATTTCTCTCTAGTCCTTGCATGGATCACTTGTCTCACATTAGAGTTTCATTTGATTTTGATTGTTGATCAACGTTGAGGACTAAATCTAAATCCACTCAATCTTGAAAATGTTGAGTAGGAGGTTAAAACACAAAACAATATCATTGTAATATCTTTATCAGTCATCGTTGGAGCTTGTAATTTTCTGAAGAGTTGCACAGTACAGTTAATAAAGAACATCAAGCATGTATGGAAAACCCATGATGGGGCTATAAAGATGAAGGTAATAAACACACATATACATATGATATGAGCTTAAAAATATGAAAGATATAATATAAAGTGGAGGGACAACAGTGGAGGAGTAAGTAGTACAGCTGGTAGAGGAAAAGTGGGGAATCAGGCATGTACAGGTATAGAGGAGGAAATGATGGAAGCACAACCTTTTAAGCGTTCAATGATAGCATTTCGAGAGACAAGACCCGAATGATGAGTAAGAGGTAGGCCCTCCTTAACACACTCATCGTACTTCTCCAAGGCAGACACAATGTCAGAGAAATCTGGTCTCTTTGAAGGGTTTGCTGACCAGCATCGCTTTATCAGATGTGCTAATGCAGGCTGACAACTTGCTGGTAATGGAGGCCTTTCGTTCTGCACAACAACAAATATATATTGTTCAGTCAATATTCAGTTCATCTTTAAGATTTTGTTACCAGAAAAACACTCTATAATTGAATTGAACTATCTCAAAGTTTACATGTATCCTAATAAAAGTCTTGTTTTTTATTAACAAATATATGTTACATGAGAGTTGTCAGTATGTCAGGCATTCATCTAGATAAAGAGAGGAAATGGAATGATTACTTTATCAGGTTTACGCACTCACTATAACAGTTTAACATATTGGGTCAGATAAGAGAGTGATAATTTCAAGGCCCCATGGACTTTGGCTTCCTATTTATTGGGATTAGGAGATCCTTGCACCTACTTCTGCACTTTTTTAACATGTTTCCAACTATCAAAAGCATCACTGGGAGAAAATTTAGAAGCCAGGATTAGTACTTTGGTATCCGCTTTATTTTTAAAGTTGACATGATTCCTAGAGGTATGGGTTAACAATAAAGAAAAAAAACTATTTTATACAATGAAACTTCTTTGAATCCGGAAACACTGATTGGTTGGTAAACCTTTAAGACTGGGCCTGCATAAATAAAATATGCCACTATGTACTTTGTTATCTTTTTTTTTTTTTTTGGTAGAATGTTACAAGTAATATGATAACTAGTTTCAGCTACAAATGTTGTGTAATTTGCTCTTGCCTTCCTTGTTGGTTGTATGTTGAAAGTGCAAAAGACAGTGCGTGATACCAATGAAGCCTCTTCACAGAAAGCTTCCATATGGAAGTGCAAAAGACAGTGTGTGATACCAATCAAGCCTCTTCACAGAAAGCTTCCATATGGAAGTGCCACGGCCTATTTAACTGATCATTTGCACTCAAGATTTTAAAAAGTTTAAGAACAGAACTTTGAAGTTGAAGCTCCTAATCATATTATCTGTGTCTTTAGCTGGTTGCTTAGGTGCGGGGCGGGGGGGGGGGGGGACAAGAATAGACACTTAAAAGAGTTGTTCCTGTTTGCCAGTTATGACAAATAGACATTTCAACTTTTGTGTATGTTGCCATAGCAAAGCAATGATATGTCCTGTATTCATGTCAACTTAGAAACTTTTTACCTCATTGATATAGGAGATGACTAACTACTACATTAAAGAGATGAAGGTCCTATAGTTACTGGATGTAACAATAGGAATACTCCTCGCATCTTGATTTCCTTAAATTACATGTTTTAGCTGATTATGTAATTTAAGAGTCACTTTTATAATTGTTTAAATCCAAAAATATCTAGTACGGGTGTATAATAAGCTGCAAAGTTTAACGATATCTTTTCATACCATGTCAGAAGATATGCTGCGAACCTAGAATTCCTTAAATATAGGCATATTTTGGAGCTACTTCCTATAAGAGCAACTTAGTTTGATAGAAATTTCAGCTTTCGCACCTTAATTGAATCTCTCGGACATACAAGCATAAGGTAATCTAAACAAAGGGCACAGATAGACAACATGCATTGATAGTATAGAAGAGAATCAGTCATAGTTTCAAGAGTTCAAATTTTATGGATAGCTCGCAGGCAGTACAAAAACTCAATATTTGGCAGATATCCAAAGTAATTGAGACTTCAGTAGTAAATATGTTCTATTTGATGGACATTCTGATTCCATGCCTGACAATCTCAGGATTTTCCAGTTTTTTCTATGTATAACTGTATACTTAGATCTGACGAAAAAGAAAAAGACACTGCTTAATTAGAACCTTTCGTCTTCAAAGCTTCACTCTATGAACATGAAAATTCAATCTATCAGATTCCTTGATTATCCCATCGATGGAACAAACAAAACACTGGATAATTTACTTCATCCCAATTTAGCATCCCAACTTCCCCAAATTAGAAAAGGCCGAAACAAAGGGTATGAAAAATTTCATTAAATCAATCATAAAGAGACATATATACATGTGAGACTTTTTTTTTGTGGGATTCATTACTAACATGTTTATATGTCTCTTCATGATTGACATGAACTATTTATTTACTACGATAGATAAATTATATCAATCATAAAGAGACATATAAACATGTCAGATCCATTTTTGTTTGGTGGGATTCACTTCTAACATATTTATACGCTTCCTCATAATTGACATCATTTATTTTTTTTTTTTGACAACTAGATTTATCTGAGAGTCTCTGTACAAGTTTATTTCTCAGTACTCAAGACATAATCTTCGTCCAATCATTCACGTTGGCACGTTGGCAATAGAGTAACTGGATGCATGTTCTCTGATCAACTTGACCATTATACTAGACAGATGCTCTTGCTCATTTCTTAATTTATGGTAAAGGATATATATATGCTTTACTGTTAGGTATGATTATGGGCCATTAATCAAGAAGGGAACTTTCTTATGCAGATTAAACAAATTCAAGAAAGGAAAGATCAAGTTCATTTGTCACATATGCCACCAAATTGCCAAGAAGAGAAGTGAATGGAAAATCTAACATGATAAATAAGAAGACAAAGTTTAGATATAGTTGTCTGACCTTGTCTGCCACAGCAAAGGCAGCTTGCACAGGGGTCATTCCTTGGAAGGGAAGAAGAGAGGTTGTGAGCTCCCAAAGCACGATTCCAAAACTATAAACATCTACTTTCCGAGTGTAAGGTTTTCCCTTAATCATCTCTGGTGCCATCCAACGATATGTTCCCATATTTCCTTTGGTCTCACGACATCGTGTTTCAAGACATGATGTGCCAAAATCAGCCACCTTAACCCTCATCTCATCATTGAGAAGCAAGTTGTTTGATTTTAAATCTCTGTGAATCACGCCTTGTGAATGAAGGTACTCCATGCCCCTAGATATGTCAAGAGCTAACCTTAGTATTGTTTCTGTAGATAAAGAGTAAGGCTCTTTCTTGTTCAGATACATCCTCAGATTTCCTTGCGACATGTATTCTGTTATGATACAGTACACTGGTGGTTTTTTACAAGCTGCAATAAACTGCAACGTTTCAAAAAGTACAAAATGCATTAGAAATATTCTTGTATCTATACAAAGTATGAATTGACCACATAAAAATGAGGCTTCTCTGATAATATTTAAAAAATGCGGAACGCAGGGTAGTGGTTGATGCAAAACTCACAGACAGAGACAGATTTTAGCCCTACACATGTTATGTCCTCAAAAGTTGAAGCTAAAGAAAATAAGAGGAAGAGCTGAGAATTCAACAGCAAGTAGGAGTTTGTTTGGATGCATGTTCAAGGGATGGCACATGAATTCCAAAGTCACGTTATACGAGAAGCAACGAATTATTACTCTTGGAAAAATGTCCTTTTGGGGATGCACCAACAGAAATACAAACATGTCCTAGTCCACTGCTCCTTTTTGGGGGGCTTTGGGTGGGGGGGCAGCAAGAGTATAATGCATTACATTCAGCATGATCTTAAAAAATTGAAACTGATGCCATACGAGTTGTCACTTATCATCTTATTGACATTTTGTAGCGATACTTAATTAGTTCATAAGATCCTCCAATACTTCCTCAGACCGTGTTCTCACTCAAATAAGAAACATAAGTTGTTCCAAAAAAAAAAAAATTTATCCATCAAAGTGGTCAGCAGCAACTAGTCTATGTAGGTGATCACAAAACTACAACCACATGTTAAAGAGATTATAGATTAACCTGGTCGTTGTATCTACTATATCTGTTTATATAATATTAGATCCAAGTTGGCACTAGCATCAATATGGCACTTCAAAATATTTATTGTCCAAATGTGATTTGAAGTACCGTGGTTGATACAAAGACACAAGTAATGGGCATGTATCAGATATGACACGTCTCTATTTTAAAAATAATTGTGTGTTTCATTACGCACAATGACTTGTCCAATAGACTGACGTGAAAATCCAAAAACTCATGCAGAAATACAAAGAAGCACCACAGGCACTAGAAGAACGAACGAGAAGGCTTCAAGGTATTTATTACCTGCACTATGTTAGGATGAAAGAGACGTGAAAGTAAAGCCACTTCAGATTTAAATTGCTTCTCTAGCACGTCTCTTTTGTCCTCGTCCTGTACTGGAACCCTCACCATTTTAACAGCCACGGCTCTCTGCTTGTAAATACCACGGTAAATCCGGCTATAGGCACCAGAAGCGAACTTGTTTCCTATGAAAAGCTGCGAAAGATCAGCGTTCCACTCCTCTTGATGATCCTCTTTAGATGCTTCCCATGTTTCCACATTCTCGGAGTCCAATATCATTGACCACGATTCCAAACTATCAAATCTCCTCCTCTCCATATTCTCCATGTCAGAATCCAGCTTGGTCCTCGTTGAAGAAGAGGGCTCCCCGATAGGCTTACTCCTCGACCTTCTTAGGCGAAGCGCAAGGAAGCAGGAACCCGCCATTGAATAAAAAGCTCTTCTCCAAAAGCTTGATGAACAACGAACCCTTGAATTGAACCGAAGTTGTGTCTGTCCCAACGAATTAACGATCAAACAGAATTTCCCTTAGGAACGTGTGAATGGATTTAAGGAAGTGCATAAACTGATTCCTAAACATGGATATGATTTTTCATGAAAGCATCAGACCAATAATACTTATTCCGAAACAGATACGCCCGTTGTATCAAAATTCTGATGGATAAAGAATCACAGAGCGTGCAATAGTAACCAGAAACTCAACCAGGGGGGTACGGTACTGAAATTTCATTGTTGTGGCGGAGAAAGAGTGGGAGAAGACGAAGTTTTTCACGGTTTTTCTCCTTGCATGAAAGATGAGATAGGAGGATTAGGTCTACTAGGAGCAAAAAGGTGAATGTCAAAGGCAGAAACTTCAGGAGAGTCTCGTGAATGCTTGGTTCAAAAGTGAAAGGCTCTTGATTATAGAGAGGGAGGGGGAGAGAGAAAGGAAGAGAGAGATCGTTTTGGGTCGACAGCTTTGGCTCGAGCTTCGTTTCTTGCATCGTCAACAACAACATCATCATCATCATCAATGGTATGTGGTGGATTGATCTTTGCGCTTGCCTCATTCAGTTTCAATTTTGCATTCTTCTCCCACTCTCAGACTTCGGTATATATCCCATCCTTTAACTGTCACGCCATATCGTTGGGACCCAGAAACGCCTTCCCAGAATCCACGTGGCATCCAGCAGCAAACGAGAAGACAAGTGGCAACACAGCAACCGTCGATCAAAGATTTTTGTTGAGATGAAAACAAATACTGTTGTCATGCATATTCCAGGGCCGAAAAAACACTATGTTATACAGTACATACATCATAGTCCCCATCGTTTTCCAAATTTAGTTATTCTCATTTAAATTAATAGTAGCAAAAAAAAACATATAAGTATACCAATAGATTAGTATTCCCATAACATTATTTTGGTCTTTAAAATTGAGATGAGTTTAATGTCAGAGAATATTTCATTACTTTATAACTGTTAGTGCAAAAATCTCTCTTTTTTTTTTATAACGTTAGTTTAAAAATCTCTACCTCTCGGTTTTTTTTTCGATAATGACAATTAAGTCTTTAAAGAATAAATTAATAATATTTAAATTTTTTATACTTTTTAAAAAATAAATAGAAAATGTTAATCTAAATAATTATAAATTAAAAATTTTAATTACAAGTAAGATATTTAAGTTATAAATGTAATATGTAAATTGCAACTGAAACTCCTGTTTACAACGATTTAAATTAATATTTGTAGTTCATTTCTTCAAAAAAAATTGTAAAAAATTTAATTATTAATAATTTGATCTTTTAAAACTATACTGTCATTCTCCTTCTTTCTTTCAGTACAATGCAAGGCTAAGCCAAACCTCTTCAATTTTAACATAATCAAACTTACTTATGTGAGATAAAATAATTTGTTTTTTCAAAATATCTTCACATTAAAGCTGTATTATGAAAGAATAAATTTGGAAGTGGCTGAAGTTGGTCGTATTACCAACTGTTTAGTAACATGCACAAGAGGTATCGCGGAAGTTGGGTGGGCCCTTTATTCTGGTGCGTGCAAGCACTAACAAAAAGATGACAAATTGAAAGGAGTACATAAAATGTTGTGAAAAGCTTTTGAATAAGTGATGGGGGCATCATAGTTTGAAGTTGAGGCCTAGAATCACAGCATGTGGACTGGAAGAGTGGAATCAGACGAAGAACTATTAGTTTGAAAATGAAATTAAAATGGAATATAAGAATAATTAATAAAAGTTGATTCAATTGATAAGAATTTAATCCAAAACTTACAAAATCTATCTTGCTACTCAATTCACATGAACCTTTCTAAAAAAAAAATGGAATATGAAAATAAGTGTATTGGGACTTTATTATATATAACTCCATTAAACCACCAAATTCATGTCACAGAAAATTTTTCATCCAAAACAAAATTGGATGTGTATTTAAAAAGTATTATTAGGTGATTATTAAGTAAAGAAGTCATAGTTTAATCTCTTTTTGTTTTATTCTAAATAATTTGTATTCCTATCACTAAAAGTATCCTTTTTAATATAATACCTACTTGCAAAAACATATTAAATGAGAGTTAAATCAAACACTTTGATTTTGACCAAATCTTATAAAATAATTGTAACTAGAATGTAAGTTTCATGTTTATATGTAGTATTGTGGCCAAAATTATACATTATATATATATATATATATATATATATAGTTTGGAGTAAACAATAATATTTACGTAACGTTTGGTAAGTATGAAACTATTTTTTAGAAGGAAAATAGAAAATGCACCCATTTTATTTTCTTTTTAGGTGCATTTTTAATTTTTTTAAAAAAATATTTTTTCTTGTGCCAAATATTATCTTATAATTTACCGGTAATGAAATTTTGATGTAAATTTGATTTTGTGTTATCTGTAATCTATGCATGCACTCTTTTTTTCTGCCTACAAGTTATCATGTACTCTAATTGTTATTAATAAAAACATAAATGTCACATGCTTCAATATTGACTTGATACAAAAAAATAAAAATGTCATTTATGACCCCCAACCAGACATAATGAAAAAAAAAAGCTCCTCGAATTTTGAAATTTCACTTTAAACCAAGGGTAGTGAATTGAAATTAAAATATTAAAAGAAATGATAATATTAGCCTTCCTTCAAATTTAAAAAAAACTTCTTCAAATTCCCTTTTCTCTCTCTCTCTCTCTCTCTAGGAACACTCTTTCACTTTGATTCACATCCAAAAGAAGTTGCAAAGATATTGATTGCCATGGGACCCTCTTTCAATTCTGAAAATTGAACAGCCACATAATAGAGGCTAATCATGTATCTATCAAAATAACACTAATTCTAACCCTAATATAGCATAGGGTTAACTTTAGGTCATTCCTTATTGAGTGTCTCTTTTCAATTATGAGATTATTTAGTGAACAAGTTATCCAAATGTTAGAGAGGGTAGTTAATACTGATGAATTAAAATGTAAAAACCCGTACTAAAGTGTGAATGAAGTGTTTACCCTTTAATGAAGTGGAACCTTAGAGTTATGATAGTGGAACAATCATTATCTTTATCAATGTTTGTGACTTGGTGAATTATTTTCTCTTCTTGGATGTGCAAGTGTTTCTTACAAAAACTATCTTAAGAAATATGATCTAACTAGTTCAATTTCCTAAGTTATCAACTAATGTCCTTACATTATTTCCTGGTTTAATTTTATATTAACCAAGTATTTAGGTTAGACAAACCCTAGTGAAAATCATGGCAAATCAATGTTAGATTGAATCCAAAGACTATGGTGATTATCTCTAGTGTCTCAACCTTATGCATAAAACTATGTAAGAGCAAAGCAAGAAATTTATCAATAGAAAAATGCAATATTATGTATATTTCCATAGATAGCCAAATTAACTAGGAAAATTTACAAGAATTCAATCAACCAAACAAGTATCTCTTGTTATATCAATATGAATTTCAACTAAAATTACAAACCAATGATAGAATAATCTTAGACTAAGGTGTTAAATATAAAATCAAATAAGAGAAACTAAGAGAATTAGAAAGTCTTAGCCATTAGAAGATCATTAATTCATCCTCCATCCATGTTTCCTCTAGAATTCCTTAAGAAATCTAGCAATTTATCATCATCTCCAAAGTTTCCAAATAGAACTCACTAAGTCGTACATCTTCATCTCCTTCCAATGATGGTTGAAGCCTTTAATCCTTGATTTGATACAAGGGTTTAGGCAAAATGGGAAGAAAAGAAGAATGGATGTAGTTTTATGTGATTGGATGAAAAATAAGAAAGACGTGGGTGATTGGTTGGATGGAAAAATTAAAGAACAAGCTAAAAATAAGAGAAAATGTTTGAAGATGGAAAAATTAGTGAGAGATTTGAATTGAAGGTAAAGATCATAAAATTGGCTATGAGAAAATGAGAGAAAAGTGATGAAAACTTCTAAATTAGTTGTGATCTTCAACTATTTACTTCAAGTGGCTAAAACTAATTAGTATTTTGGAGGGAAAATTAGTGATGATTACAATGTAGACTTGATCTAGTACAATGCACCATTTCAAGCTTAATTTAGACCTCTCCAAATCTAATTGTGTCATGCCTGATTTGCCCTTTAGAAGCTCTCTTCATTTGCCTTGAATTATGCCTTCATTTGTCATATTAATTCACCTAAGTCATGATTTAATCAAATAACCATAGTATGATATTTATTTAATTAGACTAAGATAGAAAATATTTAATTCATTCAAAGTATTAAAATGGTTAAGGGAAAATAAATATGAAAGTCTCACAAAACACAAGTGTAGACGAGCACACACTTGAGCTAAAATCAAAGGTTAATTGAAAACCCTTAGGAGACAACCTTAAAATGTTATCTTTTTTTAATAACTCTCAACTAAGGATGAATCAATAAAAATTAATTTGATCAATCATCTTAGTCCACTAAAAGATATAAATCTCCAGCTTAACCATAATATGGTGAAGAAGTGCATTTTATGATCAAATTATCCATAATGTATGTACTTGAACACCTAGGCAAATTTACACTAAAAACGTGATATGAATACATATGGAGACTTTTAATATGTGTAAAAAGATCCTACTTAGCTAATAAATTTGTGTGAATAATGTGTCTTATCACTATGCCTCCCTCCATCCTCGATCCTTCTTCCTCACATCTGTGGCGATTGCATTACTGCCTAGATTATCAAAGACTTCTTGTGACAAACTATTGCAGAGTTCTGGTGACATATCATAATCTGAAAAAATATGGAGATTTTGTATTCTAAGATTTGTAATTATGATAAATAATCTTCACTTGTAATTAATTATACATAAGAGTTGACCCTTTAGTTACTTTAGATTGCTATTGTTTATCAATTGTATGGGAATATTAGATTGGGTGCTTAAATTGTGTTCCTACACATATTGTCTATTGTTTCCTCGATAATCAATGTCATTGAAAATCTTGGGGGTTTAAAAAGAAATCTCCTCTATGACCTATTGTAATGGCATGAACAACCCTTATAAGTTAATAAACAATTTGATGTAGGGAAAATGAAACAATTCATTTTACCTTAATTACAATGCTGTGAATAAGATCAAGATTCAATAGTAACACGGACAATTCTGTAGGTTAATAGCCAACTTCGTGTGGGAAAACAAACAATTTTAGTATGGGCAATAAACAACTCATTTTACCGTGATTATAACACTTAAAATAAAATTAAAATTCAATAATAACACAAACAACTTCTATATGTCAATAAATAATTTCATGCAGGTCAATGAACAACTTAAAATAAAATAATATTATGCTAGAAGAGAATTAGAGGAGATAAGGACAATAAGATAATTTTACTATGCATTTTAATTTCACTTTAATACTCCCTAATATTCAAAGTGAATTTTCAAAGTTTAAGGGATTTTTTTTTATTAAGCATAGGCAAGGGGCTTAAATGAAATTTTTCATGCAAAAAACATGTTGGGCCATTTTGACACGGTCCATTTTGAATCACGGAGTGTTTTAAAAAAACCCAAG